TTACTGCGATTTAAGATGCTTCAACTGATATCCGAGTAGTTTCAGTTGAGTGTTTTCTTACTGAGGACGTCCTTCAAAGGATCCTTTTAGATAGCGTGCCCTAAATAAGAGGGGTCTTGTCCCTCTTATTCAGGGCCCGCTGCCCAATATAGCAAAATCCTCAACATACAGGGGAAGGCCGAAAATGTCCCATAGTCTATTTATTCTCTTCTTTAGCATCCCTTCCTTGACAGTTCTCCCGAGCATTGTGTTGCCTTCTTCTTTCAATCCGATTCCTCCCTAAAAGTAATGAAAACTGAGTAAGTTCTTTATTAGATAATATAATTAGTATTATTAGAAGTAGAGCCTACTCAAGGGAGTAAGATGAAGAAAGGAAGAAAATGAAGGAATGATAAAACAATAAGAAAGAGAAATAGGATAATAAGCATACAGATTGAATGAGAAAGTGTGGAAGTAAACACGGTACTTCTTGACAGATTGTATTGTTTAATAAATCCTTCACAATAATTAACGAAGTGAACAAAGTGAAAAGAGTGTTCTTTACAAAATTAAAAACGGATCAAGTTGAGTAAAAGAAATTTAAAGATTCAAAGTCTCTCGATCGATACACAACAAATGACTTGATAAAATAGCTATTATATATATTATTTTATTTACAATCAGACTTCGATGTAGCGCACCTCTAAACCAGCTCTATTTATAAGAGCGATAAGCCTTACTTTTAAGGAAATTTTTAAGCAAATTCTAAGTGCCAATAACGAGTAAAATTTTTACTAAGAGAGATATCATAGGTTATGAGTTCCTCTTAATGAAAATTTTACTTATATCCCCCTCTATTATTTGACCTTTAATTAATTAATTAACTGCCAAATTTTAACAGTAACAATTCATCAATTTTAAAACTTGGCAGAGGAGGAATTTCAAAATTTTGGATCATTCAACCTGAGATATAATACAAACACAACTAAGTAAAATGCATAGATGTATATAGTTGTTTACATAACTTAAAATTTTAAAAACATCACTTATTATAAACGAATACAAACTAAAAAAATATAATGGGGTGGTCCATAAGTCAGTAACCGACCTTCTTTACGAGTAATACCAAACCTGTTCTTAAAACAAATTTTTATAAAGATGTATAATCTCGGTTAATTCACTTTCGGGCCATCCTGTTTAATCTTCTCCAAAGAGTATATCAAGTTTTTTGACTCATACTACTTTTGAGTTAACTGATCTTCGTAAGAATGAATATAATGTGTAATTTACGAGCGTGAATAGCTTAAATATTCTTTTTCTTTTTTTTATTTTGTCTCTCTGTTTCTGTTTGTTTGTTTTTTCCTTATCCCCGTGGGCAGTAAGAGAGTATTGTTCCACGCCGGTCATCGGTTCAGTCAGGTCCACAACGTGGAGGCCAATTAGTGAGGGATGGGGTCCGACATACCCCAGAAAAAAACCAGTGGTGCATTATAGCTTCGTGGGTTAAAACAAATTTGAATTAGGGGATCCCCATGTACAGTGTTTACTTCAGAAGTTCAGACATTTATTTTAATAAAAGATTAGTTTGTGGACCCCTGTTGGTGGGGTCCAGTGTCACGTTATCTTATGGACAAAAAGGGCAATTGCCCTTTTTGCAAATAAGATAACGTGCCGCTGGGGAAAAACATCCCAAAAAATTCCGGGAGTTCCTCCCACATCCAGATTTGATCCTGGTCCCTCAAAGAGGTACGGTACATCACCTCGGTTATCCAGTTGTTCTATTCTATTCAGAAAGAGTAACCATAGGCAAATTAAAGAAATGTTTTCTGAAATAAGTAAAGCTGACAGGAAACAATTAAGCAAATGTATAAATCGATAAATGAATTAAATTATATCCACTACAACTGTAAACCAGGGCTGGAGAGTCGGAGTCGTCACAAAATCCGCCGACTCCGACTCCTTTTTACTTCCCAACTTGTTATATATGTAAAACGGAAAAGTATTGGAATCGTGTCTAATTTGACCCTCCAAGTTTTTTTGTAAATCTACACGTTTGGAGACCTCCCGAATCCCCCAATAAAGGGGAAAAATTCGCGCGCGCGTGTCGGCATATAATTTGTTTAATTTCTTTATTAAAGTTTAAGAAACGAAATGTGGCACTGTAGCTTGCGTATAAAGGGGCATTAATACTATTTTGGTTCTTAATTAAAGGTCGACAGGGTGAAGACATAAAAGTGATCACGTGTCATATCTTTTAATGAATATTTTACTCGTTATTAGCGTTCAAAATTTACAAAAATAAAATAAAATAAAACTCGTGTCTACCCTCAAAGTAAACTTTATTGTCATTTTATAATAGTACAGTAAAACTCGTTAAGATATTCTCACCTAAGATGTTAGAATGTGTATGGGGACATGATTTAGTTCAACCACTTTGACGCTTAATAACTAACTCCTATGTTAAACCATCCGACTCCGATTCTGACCACTCTGACCACAGAAATTATTAAGCTACAAGCAGGGTGAACAAAATCCTGCCACACACACACATAGTCTAACACCCACACATATAGAAAAACATCTCGAATCTTTTTCATATCTCGAAATTTCAAGATGTCCTGAGTCCAAAAATGTAAAAATTTGGCAGGGGTCATTTTTTGACCGAGCGCTACACTTTCCCTCTGTTATATATAACAGCCGGAAAAGTAAAAATTATCGAATACATATTCATATGAGACTGTCATTTGAAGAAAACTGAAGATTGTTAATGGAAAATAATACAAAGTGTCTTAAACAATTTATATAATAGATCAAATTATTAAAGTATTAATAATAAGTAAAAATAAACTTACGTTGTCTCTACCATATCCATTTCGCCATATTGGATCATAAAGCGAGTCAATGCGATGCGATGTCTTCTAAAAAAATGTTTGCTGACAAAATATTTTCAAAGATGTTAATTTCAGCTTACTATTATTATGCAAAAGTAATGCTTCCTGTCTTATCATATCAAGTATTCAATAATAAAAGTCTTTTTTTAGATTAAACCCCTTTTATGTAGGCGACATTTACATTTACAAATACTTATAAAAATATTACCCAGCATGTCTCGATAATTAGAACATGTGTACTAATAACAATTTAAATATTAATTTGTTCATTGAAATTGGAAGCAAAAGTGTGGTTACACGATAATTTCATCGCAATTATCAGTTAACGATGACAGTAATTTAATCAACTTGCTTAAGTTTTCAATTATTTTATTTTGAACTCAAGCAGTTATTCGTCATTTTTATTAATACAGTAATGAAGTTGTGAATTTTGCTAGCTTACTTAAAATCAATGAATTAAGAACAATGGTAACATGCAGGGCGCTACCAACTAGAGATGGATAGTTCCAAAGAAACAGTTCTGACCTGGAACTATCCACTTCTAGTTCCAAAGAAACAGTTCTGACCTGGAACTATTTCCAAAGAAACAGTTCTGACCTGCAACTACCCACTTCTAGTTCCAAAGAAACAGTTCTCACCTGGAACTACCCACTTCTAGTTCCAAAGAAACAGTTCTGACCTGGAACTACCCACTTCTAGTTCCAAAGAAACAGTTCTGACCTGGAACTACCCACTTCTAGTTCCGAAGAAACAGTTCTGACCTGCAACTACCCACTTCTAGTTCCAAAGAAACAGTTCTGACCTGCAACTACCCACTTCTAGTTCCAAAGAAACAGTTCTGACCTGGAACTATCCGCCTTGTGTCTAATTAATTGCACTTAATTCCGTTTTGTCCAATAAACTATGCAATGACGACGGAACAAAACGGTTTCGAGGAACCGTGTGGTCCAACAGACTAAACAATTTGAAGGAACCGATCTAGCGGAATAGTTCCAACTGTTCCAGTTCCACTTCTGGAACTGGAACTGTTTGAAACAAGTTTTCCTATAAGCTGTGTAGTGACGCTGTGTTACTTAGAATATTTCATTTTTATTCAGGGCAGTTATGACATTTAACATTATGTTTCTTACTTCACTTTCAAGTGTTTTTTCTACCTTTATTGTGTTGAACTAGAAGTTGTTTTTAAGTGTTAACTAAGTAACAGAATTTCTATTTTTTTCAAATCAAATTAAAATAATAATAATGAAGAAAGAAAAACTGTTAATCAACCTAAAACAAGTGGACTGTTCCAAACGACGAAGCGCCTTCACACAGCATAAAGGAGAACTAGAAGAGCCAACTACTGTATTTGTTATTCTGCAGATATTTTAAGTTAGATGGCAATTATTAATGAGGTGCTTATGGTTATTTTAAATACAAATATTAAAATATGATAAATGAATGCAGTTATAATAATGATTCTTTTGTAAAATTAATTATTAAGAGAGATAAGAACTTGCAATTACAGTACTTTAAAGTATCAAAGCAAGCTTCTGAAATAAATTTATTCAGGAAATTAATGATTTTTGCAATAAATTAGAATAAGAAATGTCTAAATCGATCACATTAATGACAATCATCATCCACATTTTGTTATATAAAATAATACAATTTTATTCTTTTATCACGTGGGTAAGAATGAAAATTTATATAACAAAAATTTAAATAAAATATATAAGCAAGAAATGCATATAAATGAGACATTAACAATAAGGAAAAAATAAAATACCATAGAATACAGCCATATTGAATCTCGAAGCAATGTATTCAGAAGCGCATTATATCATTTTATAAAGATATAAATTAAAAAATAAATGAGTTTCTTGATGATGATTAGTTGAGGAAAAGTAAATGGGAAGAAATCTCGATTTATATTTACTTTTCCAACCAAGTTTAATTAAATTTAAAAGAACTATTGAATTCCAAAACATGGAATACCTATCTTGGATATTGAACTTGTGGTTTAAAAACTTATTGTTTGAAGAAATTCTTACCAGGTTATTACTTAAATTAACTTTCTATTGTCATATTTTAGTATTGTTTTTTTTTTTTCTTGATTGTTTGTAGTTGATGCTAAATTGCAAAATAGATTCTTTCATAATTTCAGTTGGAAGATACAATGGAAGCTTCTAATGGAACCATCGCTACTGATTTTATCTGTAAATATAGTGTAAAAAAATGTATGAATAATACATTTTGCTAAATGTATAAAAGAATACAAAATAATTTATACTTTTTGAAAATTCATCTTGTTTTGAACAATGCTAATCTGCTAAAAGCTCTCATCTTCAGATCATTAGGATCATCTTGAGTATAAGAATACAGTAGAGCGTCGTTTATCCGAAGGTCGGTTATCCGAAGAAATTCCAGTCGACAGATTTAAATTTTCGCCAGTGCTGTGGCGCTGTAATCTTTGGCTATGTCTTCGGCTACTCAAATATTTTACGTTTTTGATACTAAATTAACTTCTGAAGTATAATTTTTTATTGTTTCTATATTTTTCAATATATTTATTTTGTTCGTACAAAATAAAAAAATAATTTTTAACGATACAATAGTTTTCGTTAGGCTTAACATCGACGAAAATTCAACGCGAAGCGACACGCAACGGAGAAAAATTTCAACACGGGATAAATTAATATATTTTTTCGTACATAATTGGTTATCCGAAAAATAAGTTATCCGAACAACCCCAGTCCCCAATTGATTCGGATAAACGACGCTCTACTGTATAAGAAAACCACTTTAAATAATTTCAATAGAACTTTAAAAACAGTTTTTTAAATTACTTTATATAAAAATTACGTCAAATTTTTTTCAGAAAAACTTGTATTCAATTACATTTAACAACATTTAAATAATTAAAAATGATTACAAAATTTCTTGTAGATATTTAAGGGCTTAATACATAAATTTTGTAAAGAATATTATTTATGCTATGAGATTATTTCTAAATTTATATATTAAAAGATTAAATTAAATTATATAATTATTTTCTTTCTAATTTTATATACAGATGATTGCATTGCTTGTAAGAATAAACTTGAAGAACTCTATTGCAAAACTGTAGAAGATACTGAAGAACTTCAAGGTAAATACGTCTAAAATCAATTAAAATTGTAAGTTTCTTTGAAATATCGTCATTTCTTAACATAAAATGGTGGCTACACTGTCCAAATTTTTGCGTAAGAAAACATAGATTTTCATTCCCATCGTAATTTCTGCAAGATTCACAATAGGAGCTGAAGGCTGGATATGTCTGTCTCCGTTTTTCACCATCCGACAGCCCTCATTGTGGGCTTGGCCCACGATGGGTATGATTTAAAAACCACTTTTAGTGCCTACAAGGCATAGAGACAAAAAGCTGATAAATTGCTGATTTTTTTTGGCTAATCGAATTGATGGAGCAATTCAACGCAACACATGGCAATCTGCGGATGGGGTGCTTTTCGGAGCCTTTCTAAGGGAAACTTGCCCTTATTTTATAAGTAAAATGTAAAGTCGTTATTACTAAAATTGAAATTTTCAAAGATGTATAAGGTGTATGCACATAAAATAAGTTATTTCTATTTTATTCGTAAGGTTCTAAATTTTTATCGATCAATTTTAATATATTTTTCTTAAATGGAAAACTGCATTCAAAATATATAATTCACTATTTTTTCACTTATGTATAATGTACTATTTGCAATTTTATACGTATAAACATTTATAATTAAAATCGACAAATCGATGCAGTTCAAACACGGGTTTGAACTACACAGATTCGAAAATGATACATTACTTATTTTGAAATCTGTCGTCTGATTGGACAGTCGACAATATAAAATATTGACTATGCCATTTTCATTAAAGAACGAACAACATTTCTAATTTTCAGTTCAGTTTTTCGTACTTATTGTTATTGCATTTTATATCCGTATTATTAAAAAAATTTCCTTTGTTGTCATCCTATACAAAATAATAAGAGAAACTCGTTTAACTCGCCACTAAATTCGGCTATGGTTAAAACCATATAAAGTCCGTTGGTGAGGCGTTGGTTCACACCTTACCAATGGACTAGCCACACGTACAAGGTTCCTGGTTTTCTTGACGTGTCTAACATCTAAACCTAAATAAGAGCCAATTTTCCAAACAAAGTCCTCACAGGAGGCACCCTCCTGGTTTATTTGTTTTCACATAGGCGATTTACCGAAAAGAGATACCTTCCGAAAACACTTTTTAAGAGAAACTGGCCCCTATTTAGGCATTGAAAACGTGAAGAAAGCCCGGAAAATGTTACGTGATCAACCCGTCCGAGAGGTGCGAACCCACGGCCAGTGTTCGGTGGTTTTTATCAACTCTGTTACTGGTAGGATCTGCCTCTGGACGTGTTGCTTTGTCACTTCCCCACCAATCCAATCAATCCCTATTAAATGTCATTAAAAAAATTTTAAGTCTATTCTTGTAAGTTATATAGTCGACCACCCTATAACACTGTTGATTATTCCGTTTTATATGAATTCCATGTTGTATGAGTCACTTAGATTTTATAAATAAGCTGTTCACAGTCCGGTACGCGTATTTGTAAAATCTAAGTGACTCGTACAACATGGAATTCATATAAAACGGAATAATCAACAGTGTTATAGGGGGATCGACTTGTATTAACCAATAAGATACTCAGTTATTTATAGATATTTTTCAAAGAATTTTGCTGCCCTCTTTCGTATAAAATAAATACTAAATTTATTACATAAATATTTATTAGATTTTGTTCATTTTAAATACTGAAATTATTATTTTTTTTATTTCTTTTAAATGTTTATTTATTTTTTATTGCAGATAATTGTGAAAATTGTAATAAAAGTTATAACAGCAGTACGAACGACTGTAATTTTGAAAAAATTACAAGTAAGTATTTTCTTTATAAACGGTGAATTTAATATACAGAGTAATCATCATTAAAGTATCAAATTGCTCTATTGACTTGTTCTAATGAAATAAAGAAAAATGGCATTTATACTTTGTAATTAATTATAATTTCACTTAATTTAGTTACTGTAACTTATCAGTTTGTAATCTGAGTATTCTCTATTTGAAAAGTAACTTAGAAATATTATTCCATTATTAATTAAGCTGGTTTTGAATTGAAATATTTGAAAATAATGTTACAAGAATACAAAAGTTATAATTAAATTATTGTTTAAACTTGCCTTTCTAATCTATATATATATCATCGAGACGGATTGATGATAATAATAATAATAATAATAATAATAATAATAAGCGCAGAGCCCAAACGGTTAGGAGTTGAAAGTTGAAATTTAGTACACAGATAGGGTACGTCATGAAAACGCACACTAAGAAGGGAATTTTCGAAATTCCCCACCCGTGGGGGGAGAGAGACAGGATTAAAACTTCTATATACATTATGGATACGAGCCCAAACGATTAGGAGTTGAAAGTTGAAATTTGGTACACAGTTAGGGTACGTTAGGAGAACGCACACTAAGAAGGGATTTTTCGAAATTCCTTTCCACGGTGGAGAGGGACAGGATTAAGGCTTAACACTTTCATCAACAATGGAAGTGTTAAGTAACAATAAAAGTTTTAAGTAACAATTGAAGTGTTACGTAACAATGGAATTGTTAAGAGAAAGCGATGTGCAAGACGAAGATGCAGTTTTTTTTCGTTTTTGCGGGAAATCGAACATATTTTTAGAACCATCTAAAAATTTTCTAATTATTCTGGAAACAAGGGGACCCAATTCTTGCATTCTGTGAAAACGGGTAAGGTTGACTGTAACGTAATAATCTTTATCTTAGTTATCGTTACTTTTGCCCGAGCAACGCCGGGCCCACNTTTTAAATTGAAATTATATAATAAATTTTGAATTATTTTAACAAACAAAATTATTTCTGTTATTTCTTTAAATTATATAACGGATTAATAAAGTTTTAAACCTAAGAAGTTGCCGTTTGGTTTGTTGCTATGGAAACCGAACGACCTTTCGAAGGACGTAGACAATTACGGTTTAAGAAAATGGTCGATGTCTCCTCGTTCGTCGTTTTCTTAAAGTTTTTATTATAAATCAATAAAAATAAAAGGAAACAACGTCAATTTCGAATCGTAAAATGCAATATTCCCGAATAAATAACCGTTCGGTCACGTGACAGCCATCAGTTATGACGCTCTGGCTACAATTGACGTAACAGCTGCCGCGCGAGTCACGTGACGCTATCGAATGAGATTCTCGCGCGATTTATGACTAGATACGTCATTAATAACGCAAATTACGTGTTTTTATTCTCGTGATTTACGAGACTTTTTCCAATTCCCCATCGAAACCAATTACAAACGGGAATGGAAACGGCGCCATGACAGTTGTTGGCAAAAATGGACGAAGCAATTAATTACTCGACTCCATTAAAGGCCGAACAGTAAATTAATTGATACCATTGATAAATTAGCTTGGAAAATATGGGGAGAATGGGCTCAGAATTAGCAAATAATCACCATTTTGATTGAGTTATCGATTAAGATCCGGGATGGAAAGCAGGGAAGAAGGAAGCAATTTTATTGTCGTAACGAAGCGATTTCAGGGCATGACGAAAACACGTGACGTTTTTTAAGGGAGTAGGGACAGGAAATGACGTATAGGAAACAAAAACAATAGGCAAGTTTAGAATTTGAAGCAAGGAAATCGGATGAAGATGATGAGGATAACAGCAAGGATGATGATGAATTCTTATTGTAGAAGAGTACAAGAAACCCCTTATGGAAATGAGGGATGACGTAAGAAATGTGAAGTTAGAGAAGAAGGATGATGCGTCATGATGATGCTGATGATAGGAGGGGTATAAATATTAATAAATAATGATTGATATAGGTAAAATGGGGAGGAGGAAAGATAACGATAACTATAATAATTAAATATCAAACCCAATAGTATGATGATAAAGATTAAAATTAAAAATTTGCTTTGTTCTTCCTCTATCATGGTATTCCAAATATTTAATCTTCTTCTTTTCTTTCTTTTATCGTCCATTTTTATACTCATCTTCATACCCATTCGTTCTATGCTGATATATGTAAAAGAACGACGATGATGATGATCATGATAAGAGGGATTAATGACTAGGAAAGAAAGAAGATTAAAAGTGTAAAATACGATGATAGAGAAAGAAGAGAAAGAACAAATACGATTTTTAATTATCATCTTCATGATGATGATGAAAATTAAAATTAAAAGTCTGATTCGTTACTTCTGTTTTTATCATCCATTCTTTTCTCTTCATTATCATATTGGTTATACTCTAAAATATGTGAAAAGTAAAAAAGGATAATAACAGATAGATGATGACGATGATGATGATGAGTTAATAAGCGAAAACAAGAGAAAAATGGAGGAACGAATTAAAAGTCAGAAGTAAACAAGACGAATGGACAAGAAATAATGAAATGACATAAATCACGAAGAGATTGAAAATTGAGAAAGGGAGGAGAAATGATTAAAAATCGAATGAAGAGGTAAATGAGGACTTTTGAGGATATCGCAACGAACAAATAGGAGATGTAAATGAAAAGAAAAATAAATAAAGACGAGAAGAAGAGAATGTAAAGCATATAAAAGATTTTAGAAATGAGTTTTGCAAAGAGGGAGCTTTACATAATGAAGAAGAAAGTAAGAAATATGCAAAAAAAAAAAAGAAATAAAAAAAGCAAATAGTTCAGGATTAATGCTAAATTATAAATAGAAAAAATACACGAAACAAGAGGAAAACGTTAATTAAGGATTGAAAAAATTATTTCATTACTTTTTATCTTTATCTTTCTCTCACTTCTATGCTTTTGTTGTTGTTATTTTTTTTCTCTGTCATATTTTTGATTTTTTTTCTTTTTTTGCACCATTATTCTTCGTTCGTTTCTTATGTTTTATCGTTTTCTTTTACTTTTTCATTTTCTTCGCCTTTTTTTTACGTCTGCATTCTTTTACACGTCATTTTGCTCCTGCATCCTTTTACACATTTTGTACGTCTGCATCCTTTCCATATTTTTCTACTCTTTTATCCTTTTTACATCATTCTACTTGTTCATTTTCAAAAAGTGCAACCCTTGCTCTTTCTACACTTTTTACACGTTTTCTACCTCTGCATCTATTCTACATCTTTATACCCTTTCATTCTTTTCTGCCTTTTTCTTTTCCTGCATCTTTTCTGTGCCTTTTCTACTCGTTAATTTTTTTGAATCTTTCTTGTTCCTGCATATTTTAAATTCATTAAACGTTTTTCCTTTATTCCTACCTTTTTCTCTATCCTTTTTTCTCACTTCTTTCTTGTTCCTCTATTTTTTTTTAAATCTTTTCACCTCCCGCATATTTTCCTTATTGTTTTCTTTAATTCCTTTTTTGCATCTTATTTCTCAAGTACATCTTTCCTTCCATCTTTACTTTATCTTTCTCCTTTTCTACTTCTTCCTCTCTATTTTCTTCCTCTTTTTTCAATTTTTTTCTCGAAAAGAACGATAAGAAGATGCAGAAATATTTTTAAAATTTTGAAAAATTTTCTTTCCTTATCTTAAAAAAAAGAAAACTCTTCGTATACAGATTACATAATGAGAAATAAAATGAAAGCACATCGTTGATGGATGCCAGCAGATAAAAGGAAGAAAGTAAAAATTAATTATAATTACACGTTTGAAGCAAAAAGTTCGAATTGTAAGTAAGAAAGATATGACTTTTCTGCACAGTTTTATGTCCCAATCACCCCATTATAAATCGAAGGTGACTTACTGTCAGCTATGACTGGTCGATTCCTTTCTAGAAAGTTAATTCTCGTCAATTCATTCCCCAAACAATTCATTTCTTGGACAGTTCTTTCCTGAATGGTGTCATACCGTTCTGCACACATTCTTTGCACAATACATTCTTCCCCCCAGACAATTTTTCCCTAGACATCACATCCCCAGATACTTCTAATACCAGCAATTCGTCTTCGGATATTTCTATCTGCAAACATTATTTTAGACAATTTATTCTAGACAATTCATTCGTCATTTCATTCCTACTTTAGCATCATTCACGTCCTCAGCATATCTTTGTTGCTGATGATACTGGGGATCTAAAAACTTTGATTGGATCCTCCGCATCTTCATCATCTTTAGCAGAACTTTAGTTTACTTTGCTGATGATGCTCTGGAGATCTGATTAAAAGTATTTGATTCTCGGGATCATCAGCAGCATTTTACAGAACGTTGTTAGGGATGATGCTTCATATTTGAAAGTGTATTCGTCTACAGCAGTAGTATCTTCAGAGAACTTGTTACGCTTATGTTGTTATGCTGTTAAGGATGCTGTGGATTTGCAAGTCATCACCAAATCTCCAGATTCTAAATACATTCAACAACATCTTTAGAATAGCATCCCTAGACAGATCCTCAGCATCATCAATCTTAACAAAAAACTGGTGATGCTGAGGTCAAAATCTTTGGTCATATCTTCAGTTTTTCATCATCATCTGCATTCAATGCATTTTAATTGTAGTGAAATAACGAAAAATACTTATAAAGTATACAAAACTAAGAAACTTTATCGTATCCTGATAGTGATAATCCAATTTTCCATCATAATTATCATAATTGCTTCCTTGATAATTGCATCTTAATGACATACACCAACAAAATCCCTTGATAATCTTCTTCCTACCTGACATTTTTGATCGTAGAATGACGAAAATTAATATAACAAAAATTAATGAGCCATGGAGGAGATCATTTAATTATATACATTGGCATTCAGCATCATTTTTGTGTTTACTTGCACAAAACATAAGATTGATGACAAGTAAATTAGATACTGATGGTGGGAAGAGAAATAACGTATTACT